GGATAATTACTAGATGTTTGGCTCATCAGGGATGTTCACAGAAACTGATTTATTGCTGTTACCCTCAATATCCATAATTAATTTGATCCAGTGATAAAATATACTGAATAGTCTGCGATCAATATGTGAGTGAGGTAGATCAACGTAAGCAATTTTTTGAACTTAATGAATTATTAAAAATTCAAGAAATCATGAGAGAATTCTTGACATTTTTGTTCAGGAGAAGAAAAAATATTTACTTAGTTTAAGTTGACATGAGTGGTTGACATTGGAGAAAAGCAAATCAATACAGCTCTGAAACATTTCAATAAACCTTTCAACTGATAGCATATAAAATCAGATTTTTAGAAAAGATGTCAAGTGCTGGTCTCCGTGTCTGGAACCATAGCAATGGAGCCATGTTACTGTTAGATCATACGAGACTCGAGGCAGTGGTGAACAGTGATAACAACTTTATTCGAACATGAAATCAGAAGAACCAGAACGAGACAAACTATGGAGCAACAGGCTCCTTTTTAAACTGTCCGGGCTTGGCAAGCCATGCTCACATGTTAGCTAAGGTCCAATCAAATACAGTACATAAAGATCAATCATTTTGCTTCCCTCCAGAACTTCCTTTGTTCTGATAGGTCGGTTTACAATACCTTTGTCAAACTCAAGTTCAATACCTTCATACATTATATTACATACACAACAATCCTCCCCCCTAAGACGAGACAACCCTGGAGCAGTCATAATCTTTCAAGTAAGCAGGACGCTGCTTGACCCGTTGGGATTGTCTGATATTTACCATTGGTGGGGTAGGAGGAAGAGCTTCGGGCTCCCTGTGAGTGGGCTCGGTTTGATTCCTTAAGGGACTGAGTGTCCGTGGCCGATACACATAGTCATGGCTCCGCTCGCCCTCAAATATGCCTGAGGGTTCCAGTGCTTGGAAGCCCTCAGCCCGTTTGGAGTCTGAAGACTCTACCTGACTGTCCGAGTCAGGTACATCGGCCACCTAGGGAAGGGAATCAGGGACTGAGTCAACCCACTGCTTGCGCAACTGATCCACATGGCGCTTCTTCACTCTACCTTCATTTACCTCCACAGTATAATGGCGGGACCCGAGGACATGGGTTACTGTGCCTGGTAACCACTTGTGTCCGCTACCATAGTTCCTAGCATACACACTCTCCCCTTCAACAAACACCCGGGGTTGGTCAGTGGACTCACTGTTCGGTGGCCTGGCAGATGTTAAGTCTGGGTGCATACAGTCTAACAATGTCATTAGGCGCCGGCCCATTAGCAGCTCCGCCGGACTCCACCCCATCATGGAGTGCGGCGTGACATGTTGGTGCAGCAGGAAAGATGCCACCTTCTGGCCCCAGTTTCCCTGCACCAAGCGGCCCAAAGTCTCCTTAGTGGTCCACACCATTCTTTCGGCTTGCCCGTTGGTTGCCGGGTGGAATGGTGCAGACGTGCTATGTGCAATGAGGTTTGCCGCCAAAAAGTCTTTTAATTCAACGGCTGTGAAGCATGTCCCGTTGTCAGACACCAGAGTGTCTGGCAACCCGTGTGTTGACAACAGTTTATGCAATACATTAATGACCGTTAATGCTGTCATTTTTGCTGTGGGGACAACCTTGAGCCACTTTGAATAAGCGTCTACAATAATTAAAAAGATCTGTCCCTGAAAAGGGCCTGCAAAACCTACATGGACCCTTGACCATGGGCGGTGGCATTTCTCCCACTGCGTTACCGATGCCTGTGGGGGATCAGGCCGAGACAGTTGGCATTCAGGGCATTTCTGGACCCAGGACTCTATGTCCGCATTGATCTTTGGCCACCAGAAATACCCTCTGGCCAGTCCCTTCATACGCACGATGCCGGGGTGGCATTCGTGCAGAGCCTCTAATACTTGTTCCCTTAGCTTGGGGGGAACCACCACCCTGTTTACCCCAGAGTAAACATCCCCGGTGCACGGATAATTAATTTTGTTGTGATGCAAACGGCTTAAAACAGTCATCGACGCACCCCACTGGCCACCCCCTCCACACCCAGTTAAGAGCTCTGGTGATGGTGGGGTCCCGGGCGGAGGCGGTTGCAATGTCCGACGCATGCACCAGAGGTTTAGCCAGTTCCTCGAGAGCCATCACCTCGTAAGCTGGTGCAGGGTCAATGGCCAGTTCTTGTAGGGGACAGCGGCTGAGGCATCGGCATGCCCCATGTTTTTTCCAGGCCAGTGTTCGAGGACATAATCGTACGCTGACAAAAACACCGTCCAGCGCAACATCTGCGCAGATAAGATGTTGGGCATCTGGTGGTCAGATGCAAAGATTCCAAGGAAAGGCTTGTGGTCCGTGGCCATAACGCACTGTCTGCCATACAAAAAGTCATGGCGCCAACCCCTCCTTGTCAATTTGTGCATAGTTCCTCTCGGCTGGGGTGAGTGTCCAAGAGTAGTAGGCAATTGGTGCCTTCCTGCCATTAGCCAGTACATGGCTCAACACTGCCCCCACCCCATACGGAGATGCGTCTGCCGCCAAAACCAGTTGCTTGGCCTCATCATAGTGGGTAAGAACCACATCGGATGATAACAATGATTTAATGGTGGTAAAAGCTTAGTCGTGCTGAGAGCCCCACTCCCACTTCGCCCCCTTGTTGAGGAGGCGATGCAATGGTTCAGCTATTGAAGCTTAATGTGGCAGGAAAACATGATAAAAATTCAATATCCCTAAGAAGGATTGCAGTTCCTTCTTAGAGGTAGGTCTCAGGGCGTTTTGGATTGCCCGTACCTTTCCTTCAGTAGGGTGGACACCATTAGCGTCAATTTGGAACCCCAAGAATTCTATGCTGGGTACTCCCAGATGACACTTGGCCCTCTTTACCTTCAACCCAGCCTCTTGGAGTCGACGTAAAATGGACCTGAGGTGGTCTGCCACTTCGTCCTCAGACCGGCCGGCAATCAACACGTCGTCAAAATAGGGGACCGCCCCTTAACAAACCCTCCATTAGGCCTTGGAATATGCCTGGGGCCACGTTTACGCCAAACTGCAAACAATTTACCTTGAACACACCCCTGTGCATTACAATGGTTTGTGCCATGGCGGCCTAGGGGTCTACTGGCAGCTGTTTATATGCCTGAGCCAGATCTAGTTTGGCGAAGACTTTCCCCTCTGTCCGATCCCCACAGCTGTCAATCGAATAAACGTTTGTAGCAAAGTATTATTTTATTGAAGCCATGATGAAGCAGGAACAAGTTCACTGTTTGGAATAACTACAACGGTCGGGGCAAAGAATAATAAAACAGATTCATACTGGCAATAACCAATGGACATGGTTCCCGCTCGCACGGGTGGACTCTCATATTCGCGCCCATAGCCTGAGAATCAACGGTTCCTAAAAGATAAACAATTAATCTCTTCTCACACTCTAATTCATTATAGACTAAGCGAAGCCGACTCTTCCCCGCACCTGTGACCTTGCTAATTACCATAGTTCAAAGCAGCACTAGCGTTCATAGAAAGGAATGCATGAGACAAGCAAACGTGCGATTCATTATGCCAGCAAGTATGCGCAGTTGGATATCACTAAGGAACATGCGAGGGGGGGAACCCTAAACAGGGATGGTTGTACACCACGCAGAGTACTTTGGCAGCTTGCTGACACCCTCCCCTAATGACTAATTATGGGGACTGGGTAAGAGTGCTGCTGCAGAGCCTTGTTGATTGTGCATTTGTAATCAGCACATATTCAGATAGACCCGTCAGGCTTTACCGGTTTCACGATAGGGGTCTCCCATTTCGAGTGTGACACTGGTTCAAGCACACCTTGAGACACGAGCTTGTCCAGCTCGGACGCTATGCTCGGTTTCAGAGAAATCGGTACCTTGCTATATTTAAGCTGTATAGGCGCTACAGCAGGATCTAGGTCAAACGTTACAGGTGGCCCCCTATACATTCCCAGAGTACCATCAAAAACATCTGCAAATTCCACATATAGCGAATTCAATTTATTTGCATTGACTTGGTTAATACCACTTATAGCAATTCCGAGGGCCTCAAACCAGTCTAAGCCCAACAGACTGGCTCGGCGCCCCTCGGCAACAAGGAGACTCAGAGACTCCTTGAACTCTTTAAATTGTACCTCAAGTGTGGCTTCGCCGGCCACAGGGATACGCCTTCCCTGAAAATTGGAAAGGTGGATGGTGCTCAGCTGCAAACGCCAATGGCTCCATCACGGAAACAAACGTTGCAAGGTTTCAGACGAGATGACGGTCACTGACAATCCCGAGTTGACCTCCATCTCGCACGGTACGCCATTCAGCAAGACGGTGATGTGGATCTTCTTCTTTGCTCGCGATCCGGTCCTCCGGATGGTCAAAGGGCAGGAACAGCAGTTGGTCAGCTGGCAATCTGTAGACCTCGCGTTGTCCTTGCCTCGAACCCAGGGGTTTTCATAAGGAGATGGTGGTGTCTTCTTCCTCTTGGCCCTGCATACTCTGGCCAAATGGCCTCACTTTTCACAGGACCGGCAAACGATGTCCTTCGCCCAGCATCGATCCAGTTCATTATCTCCGTCGCATCCGGCACAGGTTCGCCGTGGTGCAGTTTTCACTTGGGTCCGCCTAGGCTTCAGAGTACGAGAATGGTTGACGTCATCACACTCACCATCGGACTCGCTCGTTGATTCGTGGTGTACGGCTTTGTTGGCCCCCTGTTGGATTGGGACCAGGTTTTGACGTACTTCTTGGGTTGCTTTCTCAGCGGCCTCAGTGGTAACAGCTTCGGAGTAGGCACAGCATAGGTGAGAGCCGTTTGTGCAAACAATCGTTGCTGTCGCTTCTCGTCCCTCATGCCACAGACGAGTCGGTCGAGGAGCGCTTCCTCGAGGTTGGTGAAGTTGCACGGGCGTGCAGCCTTCCGCAAGGCCAATACGTATTCAGCAACTGTCTCATTTGCGAGCTGGGATCACTTGTAGAATGCGTGTCGGCTACTGATCTGTGAGGGTTGTGGTGCGAAATGCCCCTACAGTTTCAGTTTGAGCTCAGCCAGGGTCACGGTTTTGATTTCAGCTGGGGCGACCAGGGACCGGGCGACGTCGAAGACAGCCCTTCCGCAGGAGCTGGGGAACGTCGCCTTCTGCTGGTCCTCACCCTCGATGTGGTTAGCCTGGAGGTGAAACTCGAACCTGGCCAGGTAGGAATCCCAGTCCTCGAGGTCGGGTTCGAATTCCTCGAACTGTGGGTTGACGGCCATCACTGCTCTTTGTGCCGGCACTGGCACAGGTGCTGCAGCTGCTTGATCAGCCGGGTCTCATTCTTCCATCTTGGGTTCCTCAGGGGCTTCTCGGTTGTCCGCCGTCCTGGTGTCAGTTCAGCGGGGCTGCCTACCTGCTCTATAATCCCACCTTCGTCGCCAATTGTTAGATACGAGACTCGAGGCAGCAGGTGAACAGTGATAACAGCTTTATTTGAATACAAAGTCAGAAGAACCAGAACTATGGAGCAACAGGCTCCTTTTTAAACTGTCCGGGCTTGGCTAGCCACGCCCACATGTCAGCTGAGGTCCAATCAAATACAGTACATAAAGACCAATCATTTTGCTTCCCTCCAGAACTTCCTTTGTTCTGATAGGTCGGTTTACAATACCTTTGTCAGACTCAAGCTCAGTACCTTCATACATTATATTACATACACAGCAGTTACCTTGAAATTAAAATATTTGTCTAGTAAATTTAGGTGTGGGTTACAGCTTTGCCCCAATAAAGGTGTTTCTAGTTACACCTTTTAAACAGATTAAGAGTACAGTAAGGGAATCTCAGGATGACAGGAATCTCAGTTTTGCTTCAGATATGTTTTGGCAGATCCATATCCTTCCCCCCCCCCAAAAGTCCAGCAAAAACATTTGCGCAGATTCCTGACTTGCTAGTCTTATGTATCCAAATAGAAAAATAGTTGGTGGCTACAGGTATGGTCCTTTAATTATTTATTATTACACTTTGATCTTGTTTTTCTTCTGTTATGAAACCAAAGGTAATGTATATAGTACTCCTAGAAGATTTTCTTTCTTGGCATTGATCAGATCCAGACCTGCTTAGCTTCACCATGGATTACTTCCAACCATATCCCAGCCCTTGATAAGAAGTGACATCGTATTGCAGTAGTGAGTACATCAGAGGTATGAATATTGTGGGGAGTCACTGGGTTGCCAGCCCAGGAGCTTTGGATGGTGGGGCCAGTGTCATGACACAACAATGTCACTTCCAGTCATGTAACCAGAAGTGATATTATACATTGCTGCAGTGCTCTAACCCGCCCCCCCCCCAACTCAATGATTTTCTGCAATGTTACTTATTCTCCCCAGTTCTCTCTTGCTGCTGTGGTAGGCAGCAGTGCTGGACCAGAGGTGGGATGGGCCCCCTAAACATGATAGAGGTTTATAAAAATTTGCATGGGGTGAAGGAAGGGGGTAGAGAGAACAATTTTCATCTCCCATAATACTAGTGTTTAGAGGCACCCAATGAAGTTGGGCAATTGATTCAGGATGGACAAAAGGCAGTACTTTTTTACTCAACAAGCAATTAAACTGTAGAATTCAATGCCAGGGGACGAAGAGATGGCCACTGGCATGGATGACCGAAGAAAAAAAATAGTGTATCGTTTGACACTTAGAAAATACATGATCTAGCTTTGGGTTTGGTAGAACTCAGCTGTCTATGCTGCATTGTTATTCTAGTGAAAACAATATGCAGTTCACTCTTCCATATTTATTCTGCACAGGTTATGTAAACAGCTTCATTTGCTGTATTTATGATATTGTAATCTCATTAAAGAAGAAATACATTTGTAGCTATAAGCTTAACAACCATTTGTTAAGAACAATAAATGAAAAATATATCATAGGATACTACGAATATAAAATATTAGCTTTAGAATGGTTGGTGCCTGTTGTTTTCTTAAGCCCAACATGTCCTGCCTCATCTTTCAGAACCATGTAGTTACACAACTTGGTTGGTGCTGTGGAACCAGCATGCTGTCGTGTGCCACAGCCTAGTTCCATGAGCCACACCATCATGCTGTCACAATGTCCTGAAGATTTATTTGGTGATGCAACATCTTGTTTACCATTTTATATGGTCTGTGCATCACACAGCTTCATTAAGCTGTCTCAAAAGAAATTAATATCTGCATGTTTGGGTGCTTGTTCAACGATGTATTGACATGGAGTCCCCTGTGCTTTCTTTTGGGTGCTGTGGTGCACAACTGGAAGTTTCCCTGGAAAGGGTGGGAGTGCTTTCCTGGGGAAACCTTCACTTGAGCCATGCTGTCTCAGACAATATGTAAAACCCCCTGTTATCCCCATCAGCCATGCTGGCAGTGAGGGACCAACATTCACTGAGGGTCTGGTTCATGTTGACTTCTGAGCAAGGATTTGATATCAGTCCATCTGATTCCCAAAAATAAATTCTATGCAGACATTCCGATATACATCCTAATCAGGACCAACTATATATTGAGCTATTAAGAAAAGGGTACAGTAGAAGTGAAACATTAGGCATGATTCAGTGAAAGGCATATGAATGCCCATTGAATGATATAACTTAAAAGTGTTAAATTTTGTCTGGATCATGCCCAGACTTTTAAAAAACTAGTTTAAAGTGTCATCACTATTTCTGGTAAAAGAAAAGCTGTGAGTTAAATGAGATGAGTAATCAAATGCCCGGCATATGTTGTTTTGAATTGTTTATGTGGCCAATGGTTATTAAAATTAAATTACCTATTTAATGTTATCATTTCACAATAATGCCTTGGCTTTTGAAGACAAAGGAATTATTCTCAACTTTGAAAAGTAAGAGTATGCATAGGACAGTGGTCATGGTCATAAGCGGAATACATTTAATGAGTGTATAACTAAATAAAATAACTACAGAAAATTATGAGAAGTGAATAGATGACAAACTTGGGGGGTTTGTATAAAATCTGTCAAAAAAAAAGAGGCACTGAAAATTCTGACATCTGTTTATAGCTGTAGAAAGATTACTCATTTTAATTCTTGTTTAAAATGCCATATGAAGGGAAAGGCATTTGTGCAAACAAGAGTCATATTTGAATTGTAGATCATGTCTTTGCCATCTGTGAGAGCTGTTGGTGTTGCAAAATTAATGTGTTAATGAAATCACAATAATTTCTCTGAAGTAATGGATTCTGTAACCTGGAATGACTATTTTTTGAACTTTAGTGCCTAGTGGCTTACAACTGGGGAAACCTTGATTAGTTCTGCAGCCTTATTTACCTTTTCTTAAAAAAATAATGGTGACATCTCCACCTTACCAATAGTAGCACAGAAAATACCTTTTATTTTTCAAACCTGTAATAATAAGAGGGTTTGCCTTAGTTTTTGAAAAATTGTTAAATAAACTGTTGCAGTCCAAGAAGTTATACTAAAGTGACTAGTGCTCAAGAGTGGGCAAACAGCTCGGAAAATCTTTCCAGCTTGTTGAAATATCACAGCTTCAGAACACTTGAAATTCACCCGATTTTATTACTGTTTTCTACTTCATATTTGGAAGACAAAGCTAATGATGCGCAGTTCTTTTTTTCTTCTGGGTACCAGTTAATATTCCAGTTCTGTTATCTACTGCATTTAAATAACCTAAAATGTCAAAATGTGTATAATCTTATTGCAGATGATTGGCACTCCCTCTTCTTGGACCTTTGGAGTCATTTTCCAAATGTTTCTTGATCTTATTGAACTATATAGACATACAACTTGTCAGTATGCATCAATGTGACCAGTTCAATGTGTAACATTAAGGCCACAATCCAGCACACCGGCTCAGTTCAGATGGCATGCAAAACCATGTTTCATTTTAATTATGATTAGTGTGAGAAACTAGAATTCCTTTTATAGACGATTGCTCATATTCTGGTTCACTTCCAAGCACTGTTTTTGTTACCTTCTCTCTGTATTTGTATACAGTTGTCTCTGGGCTGGGAAATTCCTGCAGATTTGGGAGGGAAGCCTGGGGATGATAGAATTTGGGGAGGGACTTCTGTGTGGTATAATGCCATAGAGTAGGGTTATCAGATGTCCTCTTCTGTAGAGGACATGTCCTCTTTTTTATTTCAGTCTTAATTTGGGCTCTTTTAAAAAAACTGATGAAAATGTCCTCTTTTGGGGGGTGGAAGGTTAGGAATATTCCCAGTTAGTAGCAATTATCAGTTTAAATAGTACGGGTATTTAAAATGACATTTGTCATAGTAATCATCTGTTTGAAGTAGTCAGAAAATATGTTCTCTTTTTGGCTTTTCAAAATATGGCAACCTTATCATAGAGGCTGTTCTCCAAAGCAACCTCCAGGTAGGAAATGATCACTATGTTCTGGAGATCCATTGTAATTCTGGGAGATCTCCAGATCCCACCTGAAGGTTGGCAACCATTCCCAGGAGTGCATCTTCTGGGGAGCTATCCAGGATTATGCCATGCAAAAGTATAGTTAAGACTATTTGTGATTAATAAAACAACTTTAGACCCTGGCTTCAGATCCTGGTTTGAAGGACCATAGTTATTGCAGCAAGTCAGTCATAGTAACTATTGTTAGTTTAATTAAAACAAGTAGTTCTGCAATGTCATAAGTGAGTGTTAAGTGCTGTTTAGCCTAATGAAATCATAGGGCTTCAGCTGTCTTAATTCTGTAACTATGCTCTATTATAATAAAGATAATTAGTGTTCATTTTGGACTTTAAGGTTTTCAATTAGTTTCACATATATTATCTTGTGATAACGCAACAACTCCAAAAAGTCAGTCAGTATTATTATCCCCATGTTACCTTTTAGGAAGGAGTACTGAGCAGCTCACCTAAGCCTAAGGACTCATACTGAATTCATGGCAGAGGCAATATTTAAACCAGGGACCTCCTGATTTATAGCGCAGTCATTTAGCTCCTGCTGCATGCATAATTTTCTGCTGCAGCTCTAAGCTGGGGGAAGCTCCATTATGATCACAGGAATCTTTCAGACCCTCCTGGGTTAGCCACACACACATATTTACAATACTTATTTTAGCAATGTAGATTACAGTAGGTCAAATATTTTGATGGCATTTATATGTAAGGTTTATTTAGGCATAAAACAATAGACTATTACTGTGTATTTATATGTGATATAAGGCAAACTGTATTTTGAGATCAAAGTTCCATGAAATTCATAATTCAGATGTTTAGAAAGCAATGATGGAAAGTAAAAAGAATTTTGATGCAAATGACAATACAAAGATCACTTTTTTCTTATCTGATTTTGTTACTGTGTTGTAGGTATGTGACTGGTGTAAGCACATAAGACACACAAAAGAGTATCTGGATTTTGGGGACGGGGAACGAAGGCTTCAGTTCTGCAGTGCAAAATGTCTCAATCAGTACAAAATGGACATTTTCTACAAAGAGACACAGGCCAATCTTCCAGCTGGACTCTGCAGCACATTACATCCTCCAGTCGAAAATAAAGCAGAAGGCACTGGGGTGCAGCTGCTGACTCCAGATTCTTGGAATATACCGCTAGCAGATGCTCGGAGAAAGGCCCCATCCCCAGTGTCTGCAGCTGGCCAAATTCAAGGTCCTGGACCATCAGCATCTACCACTGCCTCTCCGCCTGACACTGCCAACTGCTCTGTCACTAAAATCCCAACGCCTGTTCCCAAACCTATTCCCATCAATGAGAATCCAAATATGCCGCCAATTTCTGTTCAGCCACCTGCTAGCATTGTGCCTCCAATTGGTGTCCCACCTCGAAGTCCTCCCATGGTGATGACAAACCGTGGGCCAGTTCCACTGCCCATATTCATGGAACAGCAAATTATGCAGCAAATTCGTCCGCCGTTTATTCGAGGGCCTCATCATGCCTCAAATCCCAACAGCCCTCTGTCCAACCCAATGATTCCTGGAATTGGTCCACCACCAGGTGGTCCCAGAAATATGGGCCCAACCTCAAGTCCTATGCACAGGCCAATGCTATCACCTCATATTCACCCTCCAACAACACCAACCATGCCTGGAAATCCCCCAGGTTTACTACCGCCTCCGCCTCCAGGAGTACCTTTGCCCAGTTTACCCTTCCCTCCTGTAAGCATGATGCCAAATGGTCCTATGCCCATGCCACAGATGATGAACTTTGGCTTGCCATCTCTTGCCCCATTGGTGCCACCTCCAACCCTGTTAGTGCCATACCCTGTCATTGTTCCTTTACCAGTTCCTATCCCAATTCCAATTCCTATTCCTCACATCAATGATTCCAAGCCCCCAAATGGCTTCTCCAGCAATGGGGAAAGTCTAATTCCAAGTACATCTAGTGATGCAACTGGGGCAAAGCCAACAAATAACTCTGTGTCCCCCAGAGATTCAAAACAAGGGCCTTCCAAGTCCTCTGATTCAACACCAAGTTGTTCAAGCCAGTCCTTAAATCAAACACAAGTGCATCAGGAGCACAGTAAAAATGAAGTTGTTGATTTGACTGTAAGATCTAGTAGTCCAGTGAACAACAAGTTTGGTTTTCCTACAGTGCTACAGGGACCACAGGATGGTGTGATAGACTTAACTGTAGGTCACAGGTCTAGACTACACAATGTTATCCACAGGGCTTTACATGCTCAAGTCAAAGTTGAACATGAAGCTAGCAGTGTTGTAAATCTGGCTTTTGGTAGCTCAGATAAAAGGAACTGCAGTGACTGCAGGGACAATTGCAGCCCCACTGAAACAAAAACTTTACCTTATAGTGACTCAGCTCACTGTGGTCCCACTGCACTGGTCTCTGGCACATCAGAAAACAGTGTAGCTGCAGTTTGCAATGTCATTGTGAATGGCACAAAAGGCCCAGAGGTCTCAGAGCAGCCCCAAGATCCGAAGAAATCTCAACTGCCAGAGGAACTGCCAGTGAGTGAGCTGGAATCTGTGAAGGAGAACAACTGCACATCAAACTGCCACAGAGAAGGAGACTCTGGTAAGAAGACTGGGGAAGAGCCCCTGTTTGGGGGAAACAAGCAAGATCCAAACCTTAACAATCCTGCAGATGAGGACCATGCGTACGCATTGCGGATGCTGCCCAAGACAGGCTGTGTCATCCAGCCTGTGCCAAAACCAGCAGAAAAGACTGCTATTGCACCATGCGTTATCTCAGCACCAATTCTCAGCACAGGGCCAGAAGATCTGGAGCCACCACTGAAAAGGAGGTGTCTCCGAATTCGAAATCAGAATAAGTAAAGGTTTGTGTAATCAATACAGTCTTCTGTGATTAGAATGAATATCAGTGTTTTCAAATTGGAGTGAAACTTGTGGAGGTGGCCATGTGTGAAACAGGGAGAAAGATTCTGGTTTATGAACTCACTAGGAAAAGAAAAATATCATTATTTATGTTTTATCTTTGTCTTGCCGCATCTTTGTATCTGTCTGTCTTACATCCATTAGCAGTTAATATTTCTTTATGTTTATGGAGTAGACTGTTATAACTTTGCCACTGAACACTGTGGAGTGTGTTCTAACTAGTGAATTTCTGCCTTTGCAAGTTTTTGAGGCCATAAGAACATAAGAGACGCCAATGTTGGATCAGGCCAAAGGCCCATCCAGTCCAACACTCTGTGTCACACAGTGGCCAGAAATACCAGGTGCCATCAGGAGGTCCACCAGTGGGGCCAGGACATTAGAAGCCCTCCCACTGTTGACCCCCCCCCCAAGCACCAAGAAGACAGAGCATCACTTGCCCCAGAGCCCCTATCTATACCTTGTGGCTAATGGCCACTGATGGACCTCTGCTCCATATGCTTATTTAATTCCCTTTTGAAGCCGTCCATGCTTGTAGCCGCCACCACTTCCTGTGGCAGTGAATTCCAAGTGTTAATCACTCTTTCGGTGAAGAAGTACTTCCTTTTATCCGTTCTAACCCGGCCGCTCAGCAATTTCATGGAGTGCCCACGAGTTCTTGTATTGTGAGAGAGGGAGAAAAGTACCTCTTTCTCTACCTGCTCTTTCCCATGCATAATCTTATAAACCTCAATCATGTCACCCCTCAGTCGTCGTTTCTCCAAGCTAAAGAGCCCTAAGCGCCTTAACCTTTCCTCATAGGGAAAGTGTTCCAACCCTTTTATCATTCGAGTTGCCCTTTTCTGCACTTTTTCCAAAGCTATAATATATTTTTTAAGGTGTGGTGACCAGAATTGCACACAGTATTCCAGATGAGGTCGCACCATTGATTTATATAGCGGCATTATGATATTGGCTGATCTGTTTACAATACCCTTCCTAATAATCCCCAGCATAGCATTGGCCTTCTTTATTGCAGTCACACACTGTCTCGACATTTTCAGTGAGTTATCTACTACAACTCCAAGATCTCTCTCTTGATCAGTCTCTGCCAGTTCAGACCCCATCAACGTGTATTTATATTTAGGATTTTTGGCTCCAATGTTCATCACCTTGCACTTGGCCACATTGAACCCCATTTGTCATGTTGACGCCCACTCGCCCATCTTTGACAGATCCCTTTGGAGTGCCTCACAATCCTCACTGGTTTTCACCACCCTGAACAACTTTGTATCATCCGCAAATTTAGCCACTTCACTGCTTACTCCCAACTCCAAATCATTAATGAACAAGTTAAAAAGCAGTGGACCAAGTACTAATCCCTGCGGTACCCCACTGCTTATCACCCTCCACTGAGAAAATTGCCCAATTATACTCACTCTGTTTTCTATTAATTAGCCAGTTTTTGACCTGTTTATATATTGCTAACACATCTGGGTAACAGCATTTCAGGACCTCTGGGCTGAAGTATCATAATTCACTTTTAGGATAACAAAGCAGTGGAACAATTCTGCTACTTGTAATTAATTGGAATGCAAAAGCATGCTTCTTTGACATTCATAATTTTTAATATAAAAAACCCCTAATCCTGAAGTAGGATAAGCTTTAAGCTATATTTAAAAAAAAACAAAAAAAAAACTTCCATACACTTTGTGTGAACAAAGATTTAAAAATTCACATATTGCTTACTCTTGGTTTTTATTGATGCATCCCTGTAAGCAGGCACGTTGCTACAGTGGGGCATTTCGGGGCCTGCCCCCCACTTCCTGCCAAGGCCCCCTGACTCTCTTTCAGCTTGCCCCCCCCGACTCTCTGGCAAGATGTGGTGGCTGCCACAAACTCCCCCTGCGCCGCTGGGGCTGCCAGTTCTCCTTGCCTTCCCCCTTTCTCTGTGCCAGTCCCTGCTCCCCAACCCCGCCTCCATGACTCGGCATGACTGCATCCTGGCTCAAAGGCTGGGGAGCGGCCTGGGGGCTTGGAACTGGAGAGAGAGAGAGAGAGAAGCCAGGCTGGCACTGTTTTTATGTGCCCCAGCCCACCACATTCCAGGAAGTGGCAGTCTGACTGAGCCCCCTCACAGCCTAGTCCCCACAGCCGCCAGCCAATTCCTCCCTTTCCAAACCGTGGGAAGCCGGTGCTTTCTCTCCCCACCTTCGCTCTTCCCCTCATCCCGGCAGCAACCTCCAGAGCATCTTTTCTGCATTGGGGGAAGGTGAGCAGGCAGGCCGGCAGCTGGGGTGGGTGGAGGAGAGCACCAGGGAGGAGGCACAAGATGCCCAAGCTCAAGGCAGGCAGAGCTGACAGCCAGTGGAGGGCACCAAGAAGCCAATAATTAAATTACTTTTAATTGAATTAGCCAGTGCCCCAGTGCCTCTTGAGGAATTAAATGCCCCCTGACTTAGAAATTCCTGGCTACAGGTCTGCCTGTAAGAATGGATCATGTCTCCACCGGTTTTCTACATGTCCCCTGCTTTCAGAAACCTTCTGGCACCTTATTGTACCAATGTCTTTGGCTGGGGCATCCCAAAGTATAAACAGGAACAATTTAAAAAGCAACAGCTGAGGCTGTTTTTGAAACATTATTATCAAACAAATAAGCTTCTGCACCTTTGTATTATTGCTTTTATACAAAGGAATACTGAATCTGCCAGATGTACAATTTGGATTCAGAATCTCTCCCATTATATTTGAGTAGTGGGTGCCAAAGTTCTAATTCTAAAATGCACTCCCTTAGTGTATGGCTGATGGAACTGCTCCTCAGCATATATCGCCACCAATCAGAAGGCAAAGCCCGGGTCAGAAGACGCTGGCTGGGTTGACTGGCTGCTTTGTGCAGTCCCACCCAGCCAGGCCCGTAGCCCACGTGGGGCCCTGTGGGCCAGGGGCCCCCACGGATTTTGCGGGCCCCCTCCCCTCGATCTGCTTCCCCCACCGCCGCCCCTCCCCCCCTTCTCGGAGCACTCATGAAACAGACGGCAGTAAACCTCCTCCGCTCTGCCTGCCTCCGCTGCTCCGCACCCCTCCTCCACGATCCACCCCTCCCAGCACTCATAAGATGGGGCGGGGACAGCCATCGCATTTCCCGTGAGGCTGGAGCAGAAGGGAGGTTTGGGGGGAAGTTATCACGGAAAGGGCTTCCCTCGTTTGACTACTACCCCCCCAGCACTGTTTACGTGTGTGCGCGCAGGTCTGGATGGAAGAGACGCGTGTTCAGTGGCTGCTGCAAGTGAACGGCATGCGGAGCTGTGTGCGGTGCATGCATGGGGGAACTATAGGACTGGGTCTGCTTCTGGTCTTCGGGCACGATCCGGGAGAAGTGAAGCCTTTGCAATCAGCGTTCCCTGTGAGAGCGAGCTCATAGTTTTTTAGCCTCCAGCTCACACGTGTTGTCTTCTCTCAGGAAGGAGGGCTCCAGAGCAAACGAATGTATGCCGTAGCCAGATTGCTCGCTCACAACTTTAATGCCACCAGCTCACAAAGTAGAATATTTGCCCACAAGACTCCGCAGCTTAGAGGGAGCATTGTTTGCATTGCAATCCCCGTAGATTTTAAGGAAAAAGTGCAGGACGTTTTGGATATTCAATCGGAAGCGACTTGCCTTGCACTGAATACACACAACTGACCGGAAAGAAGGGGGAGATCTGGGGAGGGCTGCAGCAGCTGCAAGCAACCCCCGCAAATCTCTGGCCGCGGTCAGCATTCTCCCCTTACCCAAGAGTTGGCTGCAGCGATATCCTCCTCTCCTCCCCAGGTCACCAGCCCGGCAACTTGTTCCCTGGGAGGGAGCGAGGGGGTCTGCTGCTGCCGCCGCAACAACAATAAGAGCGACAAAAAATGAAATAAAAATTCCTGCGGAGCAGAGAAGGCTTTGCAGAGGCCCCTCAAGGAGAAGGCGGGAGGGCTTTGTCATTGCTCTGCAGCGCTGGAAGGGTTAAAGCCGCGGCGGACCCATTTGCTAGAGAGGCCGTGCGAGGAGGGGGGTGGGAAAGAGGAGAGGCGCCTTTCCTGGGGAGGGGGGGAGAGGAGGAGGTTGTGTTTGCATGGCTGGGAAGGTTGCAGAGAAGCCGCAGCAGGAGGGGGGGAGCCGCGCAGCCGGACCCTGGGAAGGGCCCCTTTTAAGTAAGGCGTCGGAGGAGAAGCGCTGAGATGGGGGGGAGGGGATCAGTCTCTGCCGGGGTTGCCAACTCTCGGCAAATTGCTGGACATTGGGGGGGAGAGATTCTGGGCAATGCCCGGGTTGGGGCCGGGGAGGGACCTCAGATGGGAACCGGGGCCGTGGAGTCCTCCCTGCAGTGCAGCCCCCTTTTCTGCAGGGAAGCCGATCTCTGTCTGCTGCAGGTCGTTTGTAATGCCGGGGAAACTTCAGGCCCCCACCTGGAGGTTGGCAAACCCTTTTAGCCCCCATGGACCTGCCTAAGTTGCGCCTGCAGGGGGGGCGGATCATGCCCCCCGCGAGCTCCACAAGGAGCCGGGCTGTTTGTGGCGCGCGCGCGCATGCACATACCAGCCTCCCCACTTTCCCCAGGGCCTCCTCACTAGAAAGGTCCTAGCTACGGCCCTGCCAGAAAGCCTGTCTAGTATCTTAGATTAGTTATTTAGATTTTATTATTTTTGCACAGCTCCTATATTCAAATACTTTTGGACATTTCTTTTAATAAACCTCATTAATCATAATTCTGTGTTTGGGGGCTTCAGTATAAACCCAGTACCCTGGCCTACTTTGGGCTACAGCTACTGAAATAATTGTTTTTGGAACTTAACTTGCAAGTGTCCAAGCTTGCAGAGCTGACTTCTTGATTAACACCTGGTAGGGCAAGAGACCTGGTCCCTCAGTCTCTCAGCTGGCCAGCGGAGCTGGTGGTGGCTCATTACCCTGGGCAATGAAGATTCACTCCCCAGTCTCT